CCGGTCTAAAAAATCTTTTATGAATATATAACTTGTTTTAATGTTAAATATGCAACTGTTTCGTGTGAATTGATTCTCTTTTTGAAAAATGTCTTGTCTTGTCGAGTCTAACAGTCTTTGTGATAAGTTTAACGAAATGGTGTGATGTATACCAAGTTCGCCATATAGAGAGAAATAGTGATGCAAGCGCTTGCATTTAATTAACAATTTATTTTAAATGGACTTATGAGGGTGTGAGTGAAATAGATTTGTAAGTGAAAGTGCGAGTCGTAGCTTTGTTTATTTAAACGGCGTATTTTCCACAAAGTGAGAAAGCTATATCTCGCCTTGGTGTTTAACTGTTTCGCACGTAGCTTGTTGTCAAGCAGATAGTCTTTGGAAGTACATTAAACAGTATTTACCAGGGTTGGCTTTGATTTTGGTTTATTATTTATGTAATTGAAATATTGAAATATTTTTATTTTATGTAAGATTATTCAATTAGGTAATGCTAACCAGAGATTGAGTAAGAAAATATATTGTTCTTATGTTAAGTATACAGTATTATTTTAATTACTTTTACGGGTGGTGTATCATAAAGAGAGTAACTAGAGCATGGGTTAGAAAATGCTTGTCAATTTTGAACTTTTATTGCATTTGGTATGAGTACCTTTGAAATGTCATTTTTGGAAAATATGTATTTTTAAGTAGATTTTGTTCTATTAAAATATAAATCTAAGTGTTTTTGAGTCGAAAAGTTGTTATTTTTTTTAGAATAATCTGTAAGCTGTATTTACATTTTTTAAATAAATTCATATTAAAGCATTTTTCATATAACAGGTATCTAATAAGTTTATCAATTATATGCCTATGAAAAAAATTGGATTTACCTTTAAAAAAAATGTTTTAAAATATTTTCTTATTTAAAGATTCAACCATTACAGATATTTCAGTTATTCAATGAACCCAAATGGCAACATTGGGACAAGCATATTTCAAAAACCTTCTTTTATACAAATAAATAGAACTAATAATTTATTTTCTTTCCCTTACACTATATTTCACATTCTAAAGGCTTGCTGATAGCAGGGTTCTTCTATTTATTAAACCTAAATCTGTAGAATTTTTAAACATTTTTCTACACCCATAAGCTATTCTGCGCACAGACTACAAAACGAAAAAGTATGCCATTGCGTTAAACTGAACGAATATATTTCGTATTCATTCTAGGTAGTGAGAACACTGCAAAAAAATTTAAATCCACCAATCACAGTTCATATTTATGACACCTAACTGCTATTATTTCAAGTTTATTTTATTATATAAATTAGTAAAATTCATAAAATAGTTTTTAAATTAGTTATTTTATCCTAATAACTCAAAATACTTTTTAAAATCTTAGATTTTCGTTAGTGAGTCGTAAAAAAATATACTGTAAAACTCGAGTGGACAGTCCTTATCGCATGCAGACTTCATCCACTCTTGTTGCACAATAGTATGTCGTACAGTATATTTTTTCTACGACCTTTTAACGAAAATCTATAAATTTAAAAAAATATTTTAGGTTATTAAGACAAAATAACTACTAATTTTAAAAAATTATGAATTTTACTAATTTACAAAATAACAAACATGAAAAAAGGATTTAATTTAATTAGCCTCTAGCTCATATTTTCGCGTGGAAGGCACTTTTAGAATTTTAGTTTTAATACTCGTAATTTATAGATATTTATAGATATTAGTTTCATATAGTTTGATTAAAATAATTTTTTTTTTTTTCATAATTTGGACCAAATTAAAATGCTATTATTTATCACAAAAATAACTCATTTTAATGTATAATCTCAATAACTAAAAAATATACTGACAATTAGTTTGACAGAATTGTCACTTATTTAAAATTTTAAAAATAATAGCAGTAAGGTGTCATAAATATGAACTGTGATTATCGGATATGAGTGGATATGAAATATATTCGTTCAGTCGAACGCAATAGCATACTTTTTCGTTTTGTAGTTTGTGCGTAGATATCCATGTGGGTGTAGAAAAAAATACGTGTGGCACTCGGGGACTGCCGCGGTAAAGCTATTGCATTGCATTTTTTATCAACTTATGCAATTATAATTATTTATTTATTTTATTTATGCAATATTTTTTCTTTCTTTGATATTAATTCAAGTTTTTTCTTTGATATTAATTCAAGTTTTTTCTTCGACATTACACTTTTTGAGCGTGGTGACCGATAAGAAAACATTTTTTTTTCTTTTATTGAATAAATGAGAAGTTAATATTGTTTAAAATATTTTTATTATCTTTTAATACATGTAGGTTATTCAGGAATTCTTTTCATTGAAACTATATGGTAACTGAAATAAGAAACATAAGTTTGAGACTCTAAATATCTGGAAAATACCACGTCAATGGTGCTCCAATATTTTGTTGTGGATTCTTGTGGATCATTATTCATTTCCAAATTCAATTTTTCCGTAATTGTGTCTAAAAGAGATTTAATCAGTTATGAGCAGTTAGCAGCTAGTCTACACGCATAAGTCTAGTTGCACGCACAAAAACACCGTGCCGAAGTCTGCCGAACTGAAACGACGTTAGACGATGCACGGCTTTCAACGCCGCACCGCTCTGCTGGTCGGAGTGGGGGGTGTTTCTTTTTAGATTTTTAGATTCGATTTTTCGATTTTTCGATTTTTCGATTTTTCAATTTTTCGATTTTTCGATTTTTTGATTTTTCGATTTTTCGATTTTTCGATTTTTCGATTTTTCGATTTTTCGATTTTTCGATTTTTCGATTTTTCGATTTTTCGATTTTTCGATTTTTCGATTTTTCGATTTTTCGATTTTTCGATTTTTCGATTTTACGATTTTTCGATTTTTCGATTTTTCGATTTTTCGATTTTTCGATTTTTCGATTTTACGATTATACGATTTTTCGATTTGTCGATTTTTCAATTTGTCGATTTTTCAAATTTTCGATTTTTCGATTTTTCGATTTTTCGATTTTTCGATTTTTCGATTTTTCCATTTTTCGATTTTTAGATTTTTCGATTTTCGATTTTTCGATTTTTCGATTTTTCGATTTTTTTATTTTTCGATTTTTCGATATTTCGATATTTCGATTTTTCGATTTTTTGATTTTTCGATTTATCGATTTATCGATTTATCGATTTATCGATTTTTCGATTTTTCGATTTTTCGATTTGTCGATTTTTTGATTTTTCGATTTTTCGATTTTTCGATTTTTCGATTTTTCGATTTTTCGATTTTTGGATTTTTGAATTTTTCGATTTTTCGATTTTTTGATTTTTTGATTTATCGATTTTACGATTTGTCGATTTTTCAATTTTTCGATTTTTCGATTTTTTGATTTGTCGATTTTTCGATTTTTCGATTTTTCGATTTTTCGATTTTTCGATTTTACGATTTTACGATTTTACGATTTTTCGATTTTTTAATTTGTCGATTTTTCGATTTATCGATTTTTCGATTTTTCGATTTTTCGATTTTTCGATTTTTCGATTTTTCGATTTTTCGATTTTACGATTATACGATTATACGATTTTTCGATTTGTCGATTTGTCGATTTGTCGATTTTTCAATTTGTCGATTTTTTAAATTTTCGATTTTTCGATTTTTCGATTTTTCGATTTTTCGATTTTTCGAATTTTTCGATTTTTCGATTTTTCGATTTTTCGTTTTTTCGATTTTTCGATTTTTCGATTTTTCGATTTTTCGATTTTTCGATTTTTCGATTTTTCGATTTTTCGATTTTTCGATTTTTCGATTTTTCGATTTTTCGATTTTTCGATTTTTCGATTTTTCGATTTTTCGATTTTTCGATTTTTCGATTTTTCGATTTTTCGATTTTTCGATTTTTCGATTTTTCGATTTTTCGATTTTTCGATTTTTCGATGTTTCGATGTTTCCATTTTTCGATTTTTCGATTTTTCGATTTTTCGATTTTTCGATTTTTCGATTTTTCGATTTTTCGATTTTTCGATTTTTCGATTTTTCGATTTTTCGATTTTTCGATTTTTCGAATTTTTCGATTTTTCGATTTTTCGATTTTTCGTTTTTTCGATTTTTCGATTTTTCGATTTTTCGATTTTTCGATTTTTCGATTTTTCGATTTTTCGATTTTTCGATTTTTCGATTTTTCGATTTTTCGTTTTTTCGATTTTTCGATTTTTCGATTTTTCGATTTTTCGATTTTTCGATTTTTCGATTTTCCGATTTTTCGATTTTTCGATTTTTCGATTTTTCGATTTTTCGATTTTTCGATTTTTCGATTTTTCGATTTTTCGATTTTTCGATTTTTCGATTTTTCGATTTTTCGATTTTTCGATTTTTCGATTTTTCGATGTTTCGATGTTTCCATTTTTCGATTTTTCGATTTTTCGATTTTTCGATTTTTCGATTTTTCGATTTTTCGATTTTTCGATTTTTCGATTTTTCGATTTTTCGATTTTTCGATTTTTCGATTTTTCGATTTTTCGATTTTTCGATTTTTCGATTTTTCGATTTTTCGATTTTTCGATTTTTCGATTTTTCGATTTTTCGATTTTTCGATTTTTCGATTTTTCGATTTTTCGATTTTTCGATTTTTCGATTTTTCGATTTTTCGATTTTTCGATTTTTCGATTTTTCGATTTTTCGATTTTTCGATTTTTCGATTTTTCGATTTTTCGATTTTTCGATTTTTCGATTTTTCGATTTTTCGATTTTTCGATTTTTCGATTTTTCGATTTTTCGATTTTTCGATTTTTCGATTTTTCGATTTTTCGATATTTCGATTTTTCGATTTTTGGATTTTTGGATTTTTCAATTTTTTTATTTTTTAATTTAATATTGTTTGAAATATTTTTATTATCTTACAATACATGTAGGGAATGTAAGGTTTATTTTCGTTACGGAATTTTTTGGTTCGGTCGCCGCGCTCAAAGCCCGTGATAAAAGCTATGCAATAGCTTAAAAACTACTATTTCACTATATAAAAATATTTTTTCCAGGTTTACGGTACGAAGATCTCCGACCCAAATTCGACACCTTCTTCCAGTTCTGCCAATGCACGAACTGCACCTCCCTCAAGGGCCTATCCTGCCCCCTCCTGCAATATATCCGAATCACAGGGCTTCGATATGATCGTTCTTCCACGGTTCTCAGCCTAGGCTAATCGATGTGATACAATAACACTGAACTATTATCGATAAATTGATAGCTAGTGATGAATTGATACCAGTTAGTGAGTTTTTGCACTGGCCTCTATTTGTAAAAATGCAACAGAAAACCGTCTAAAATTTATTTTCAGAATAGGATATATTTTTTGGCTATAGATTTTTGGAAGCTTATACCTATAGGAGCCCATCACTTTTAAAATTCACTTGTTAAATATTTAGAAATTTAATTTATATTTAAGTTTGGAGAATAAATAAACATAGCTCCACAATGGACTTATTTTGATATTTAAATTAATTTATTATTGGTTGTTAATATTTGAATAACCTTTTGGCGGATTTAAAATTCAAAATTTCACAGTTTAAAATAGCGATATATTCTTTTAACCAAAGTTCCAATTGATTTAGTGAGATTAAACGTCAGAGAATGCTTGTTGTGGTGCTATATTTACCTTCCAAATTTAATATTATTGACTTCAATTTTAAATAATTAAAGCAGAAGGAACATGATGAGTCTATAACAAATACGTTCTATGCTAAAGAAACAGCAAGGGTTTTTAGTTTCATTTTTAAAAGAGGTCGGTGATTTTATATCATCGATGCGATACAGTGAAACATAAATGATGTGCGATAATCCCGAAAAAAAAAATATATATATATAAAGGGAAAAAGTTAATACCCCGGTAAGCCAGACTTTATAAGGAGAACATATTAATGAAAATTATTCGAAAGTATGAGTATAATGGCAGTAACCGTGAGTGATATTCTTCTATAGATATTTTGTATTTTATCGTCTAATTTTTAATATTAAGAGGCAATGCACTTGTAATATTCAATATAAAAAGTTTAAATAAATGACATTTAATATAGAGGCTGTTTAGTGAGAAATAATTTTGTTGTCATATCTATAGGAACTTATCTTTCTTTTATTTTATGGACTCTTATAAAAAAGCTTAAACGTGATATTAAATTAGTAGTTCGGCTTTCACCAGTTTCGTCATTTCTCAGTATAGTATCCCTGTGTCTATATTTCTACATACGTTCTATAACCATTATATTATTATAAAATTACGAATAATTTTAAAATATTTAATTTCGGTGCCAAAGTGCTTTTTTTCCCACAAACACAAAGCCCACACATCTTCAAAATAATCATAATGAAGTCTCCTTTAGCCTATCTGATCCTCCCTAATATAGACCCTTGGTAGCCACATTTGAATTTATATTTCCGATTTGTTGCTGCTTCTAAGACGTTGAAGGATTTTTCAGTTCACTTAAAAAATCGTCAACAGGAAATTATCTTGATAAATTTGGAAGTAATAGTTTTGCTACAAAAGCAAGATCAACATCAGTTTTCCTTTCACCATACATTTTTCGCAATCAGTTTCATAATGTTCAACATATGCAACTGTTTGCGTAAAGTAGATCATTTTGACACTTGCTGCAATTACAGAAAATGTCCTTTATATGTCAAAATTACAAAAAAAAATATTTACATATAGAAATTTTATATACAGAAGCCAGATTAGTTGACCTTATGACTATATCATTGGAAGATATACTCATACTAACAGATACCATAAACTTATGTAAAGGGTCAAGGGCAAATTCGTGAGAAAGAGAAAGATATTCCATCTATCGGACATGACCAAGACATTGACACGACACGACAAAGTGACATTCCTTTTCAATAAGAGAATGACATAAACATGTCTGATCGTGTTGTTGTTTTATACCAGTATGCGCGACGTAATTAAAAATAAATGTTAGTGGAGACCATATTCTTAAGACTAGAACAAAACAGAGACATGACAAAGACAGATCAAAATCTGCTCAATTAGATACTAGTGCGACACGATATGATCAGACTTGTCTGTGTATCTATAGTTTTGTCTCGTCTGTGTCTTGTTCTTGTCTGATGAATGGGCTCTCTCATTAAGTTACTGAAAAGATTTGTTCTATATCATTGTCGCGTCTGTGTCTGCTTCTGATCTAACAAATGGTGACAATAAAATTACACAACGTCCACAAAACTAAAAAACAATTGTGAAGATAATCTCTCTCAAAGGTAGGAAGGGTGGGATATTCCACAGCACCTAGGCCTCATTAGATCCGTTTTTCATCTTCTAGGAGTATGTACGACATACCTCTCATCTCATCATAAACCTTCTGGTTGTCGCTGAGATGTGTTTAGAGCATTGAGATAAAATAAGAAGGAGATGCTATGACGATGCTAAAGTGTACACCTTTGCATTACACTTTTACGTCATATGTCAAACTCTAGATAGTGAAGCTAGTCAGTTTTGGTGAGAAAAATCGATTTTTTTAAATAGCTTCATTTAAATGATATAAAATCAATTTAATTCCTTCAGTCTTCAAATATAAAATTACTGACTTCAAATAAATCAAAGTACGATTTAAGTCGCCATTTTCATTACACTTTTCCATTACTCGAAGTGAGTCCATCTGTCATATCGCAAAATAGTGTTTATGTCGTCCCTACTTTATTCTATCTCGATGGTTTAGAGACAGCCACCTTCCCAGCTAATCAAAATTCTGCAGATTATTAACTCATTAAATCCTGCTAGTTTTCGATGAGGTTTGCATATAGACATCCATCCTTCCAGCTCATTAAAGTCCTGCAGGTTTTTAACTCATTAAAAACCTACTGGTTGTCGCTGGCGGTGTTTAGGGACAGCCAGCTTCTCAGATCAAATTCCTGTAGGTTAATAACGTCATCAAGAAGTGGCTATTTGGTGGGATTCTACTACCCCGATGATAAATGCCCTGGTGAAGCCATTCTGTCCGCCCGCTCCACAGGGCACCTGTAAAGATACAACCAAGAATCATTTTTTTTTCTTAAAAAAATCTTCCATTGCATGAAATATCGATTTTGTTTTATTATCTGTGTGCCTTTTAGTCCTTGATAAATGGATCAAAAAGTAAAACGTGTTATTTTTTAAAACATTTGAATATGACATTGCTTCTTAAATTTAAATGACAATCCCATTTTGATGTTAAATTTTTTTTATATTATATTATTAATTAATAGGAAGTGTCTAGTTATTATAGCAACTTACCCTTAAACGAAAAAAAGTTGGAAACTTAATTAATCTATGAAGCACAGATGGTTTTTTGAACATAAGGAATGTTACTCTCCTTATAAAAACTGGTTTAAATATAAAAATCTTATGAATATTTTTTTTAAATATTTTACAATAATTAAATATTTACAAGTCTTTTTCAAATCTATGGTGAAGTTATATATCATACATTGGAATAAATAAAAGGAAATTATGCAGATGTATTCATTTATTATTTTTTGGAAAATTCATATTTTGTATCAAAAGAAGGGGGCTGCAATTATTAATGTTAAGGTTTAGGTTAAAATCAAGATTTAAATAAGTAATTATTTATAAGTTTTAAAAATATTTTTGATCATTTAGGGTACGTTCCTATCCATTTCAAAAAATACTTCATAATTCTTCCAAGGTTTACATCACCTTGTCGTGGGTATAATGATGGCTATTATCTACAAGAGTGGCGAGTGTTTGTACTTATGTCAAAAAATTTTAAAAAAACTTTAGATACAATTTAAAATTTAAAAAATGTGCACGGTTTTCTTAAAAAAAGTATTAATTTGTAAGTTGGCAATACCATCATTTTCTCTAATAAACAATATAACAATAAGTAATCAAAAATATTTTTAAAACTTTACAAGGTAATACTTACCCATTTATTACCTAGAAATAATTCAATTTAAAATTGAAATCATTGTACTTCTTGCTACACTAGCAAGGATATTGAAAACCAACGAAACACTGCAGTTTTTCCAAAACAAGATATAGACGAAATTTACATTTTTAAATGATTTGGTCTGCATATTAACATATATTTGAGATTTGAAAAAGACTAATTTGTGTAAGTGAGAATCGATTTTATATCGACTCAGTGAAATTTTGGGATCAAATTAAAAATATTTTAGTCAAAAGCTTGACTTAAGAATCTCCATCATTTCAGCTGATCATCTCTTGAATCTATTATTCATAAATAAGAATTTTTAATAACCTCTAGAATTCCAAAAAGTATTATATATGTTGCCAAAATGTTATAATGTGTAGTATCCATCTAAAAATATATCAAATGAATACTTTTTAAGACAAATCAGTAATACAATTAGTTTCTGCACAAAGCAGTAGGTTATCGTTTACCATATAAATTAATAAAATGAGCTATGAAAGAGTAGCCGAAGAAACAGAAAGTATTAACATGAGAAATATCGTAAATTTGTAATTTATTTCAAAACTGTTCATAAGTTGCCTTTTCCGTTACCAACTTATTTGGTATAGATATGTCAGAGATGTAATAAAAAATATAGAGCAACAGTAAAGATGGTAAAAACAGGTAGCCACACGGCAATGATTAAACAATATTAGTGGAACCCATAAATAGAAACTTATGGGAGTAATGCATCTACCTGCGCACATCACCGTGCACCTTGCCGTAAATTACCGTAATTTTTGTTTCTGCAAACTACTACCTAAAACTAGCTCCACAATTGGGTGTTTTAAGGATAACATATTAAAATTAAAAGACTGACAGTGGTTAGCGCGACGTGAACAGAACAGTTATGTTGTGGTTATGTTTCAACAGCGAATGTCGATATGCCGCGACATTTTGGGTTAAGGTATGGCCTCCGAGCCGAATTCGGATCTCACTTTGTTAATACCCTGAAATATTTCGAAATTTTGCCAAGCCTGGAGCGAGCCGTAGTGTTGCTTTTGGCAAACAATTTTTACACACACAAATATTTACATTTGAACAAAATGTTTTTAAAATGTATGAAAGACTAACACATACAATAGAGAAGAGATTTAACATTACATATACTTAAAGAATTTAAATAAAATGTAGTTATGGGGCGCAACCACTTCACATTCCTTCTGGTAAAATTCGGACATTGAAAAACTGTAAATTCATTCTTCAAAATTCCAGAAATGTTCATCACTCTCACAACATTATCCAAAAGACCATATCTTTAACTCAAATATCTTGTCGTGAATGCTTTAGTAATTTATTCTGAACTCCAGAAGGCCACTGTTTTCTTCTTTGAAATAATTTGTAACAACTACTTTTTACTAAATACTTTTCGTTAGTAAAGCCCTTTGACTTTTCTTGCTCTTGCG